GACTCAAATTTATGCTGCAACATCTTTCCAGAAAATGGACTGCTCAGTACCTGGTACACAAGTGGTTCTATCTCCTCTTAATGGCTGAAAATTGACTATGAAGTAGTATTTCTCACTACCTCTATAGATGAGTACGTTGCCTAACCCCAGACTGCTACTGGGGAGGATTTCTGTATGCGAGAATCTGAGCTAGCTGAGAAGGCTTTAGAATAGATCTTAAAGATTGTGTAGAGTACATGGTAATATTAGTAGAAGGCTCCTCTTAATTTTGGTCCAGTACATTTTTTTTTTTTTTGCCAAAACACAGCAGATTTTTAGTCACTGGCTGTCTTTTCTGTTTATTTTAAAGAGAAAAAAAAGCAATAGGAACAACCATGACAAAAACAAAACAACACACAAAAAAATAGAAATACACAATTTGAAAACAAGATGATAGCAATTAACAGTGGTTGTTACATTACACAGTGTTACCTTCAATGAAGTTACTCAGATTAGCAGATGTAAGAATGCAAGATTGAGCCAATAATTAAGAGAACAAAAAGTAATAAAAAACCATTAGACACAATACAGAGCTTCACTAAGTAAGATGCTAGAAATTCAACAGTGGTTGTTATATTGCATATTGTTGTCTTCAAATTAGTTGCTCAGATTACCAGATATATGCATGCAAAATTGGTCCAAAAATCTCAGCATTAATTGTTCCTTTCAGTGAACCAACAGATGGCTGTCTGGATTATTTCTTTCTGATGCTCGTTCACTACGAATGTCTACTTCAGTGAGAGTCTGGATGGCATCAAGCTTGACCATGTGGGTCTGAGTCAGACAGCAGTGGTTGGAAACCCTGCTGCTGCCGTTTCAAAGCTTGGCTCCTGAATGCCTCCGTTTTCTTCTGCATACAGTTTTCTCACGGGGCTGGGGATGTGGCTCAGTAGTAGGGCTCTTGCCTTGCATGTACAAGGCCCTGAGTTTGCTCCCCAGCACCCCCAAAAAGGTTTTCTCACCTAACATGGTGACAGCAAGATAGCACCATCCAAGGGAGCAGTTCTGAAGGAGGAGTGACACAGTCCAGGCACGTGCCAAGTAAAGGCAGGCAGGCTGTCACCATCCCACGTAAGTGGATGTGAGGGGGACACTACTGCTCTTTTACCTCAGTGCAGGATTTAATTTTATCACTTCGATCGTGACACAAAAGCCGTTCTTCTGGTCTTTCTCACACAGCCTATTACTCTCTCCGTTTAGGAAACAGCCTTAATAGTTTCTTTTGTAGCCTGTTACCAGTTTTCCCTTTTAGCAGAGTTACCAAAAAAGAATGTTTGCTTTAAAGTACTTCAAGTGTTTGCTAAATTTGAAGGTGACAGTGGACCGGCCAGCTCTGCACTGCCTTATTCTCCCCTTTCCATTGCCGCTTTACTGTTCTTTTCAAAAGAACGGATATTGTTAAAAGCTTCAATGTTAAATTTCCCAACTCAGGAAAGGCTGTGAGGTGGCCACAGAACAATGTCTCCTTCCTACCTGCCGTCCCCACCCACTCCCATAACTATCAGCTCATAATATTTAAGCTGTAAACTTTGGTGGAGGTGACTAAAGCTTTTAAGCAGAGTTGTTTTTAAAGGACAGAAGTAGGCTATA